TGGTTTTCTTTTATTAGTATTATCATATCCCTTTCTCCATCCCTTAACTTTTAATCTATATGTGTATTTATGGTTAAAATGGGTTTCATCTAAACAGCATCTGTTTGGGCCATGTTTTTTGATCCACTCCAAAAATGCCTGTCATTTAATTGGTATACTTAATCTATGGACATTTAAAGTGGTTATCACTGTCTTCTACTTGTTGAAGAAAATATGTGATACTTATGTTATTCTTTGTTTTATTTTTTCTTCTACATTTTTCTTGTTTCTCTTGTTTTTATTGTTTTGGCTACGCAGTGGATGTGGTTCTCCTTTTCCTCCTTTCTCACCCTATCAATTATAATTTAAAATTTTCTTAGCGCTTGCCCTAGACTTTGCAATATACATTTACAACCAATCCAAGTTAATTTTCAAATAACACTATACAAAGGTATACACTTGTACTGACAGTTACACAAGTACTGTATAATAAAAAAATAGTCCAAATTACTTTTGGCCATCGCTTGTATCACTGATGTCATTTACTTCACTTAAACATAAGCACACCTATGTGCACACATACAGTAAAATGCACTGCTGCTATTATTATTTTGGATGAACTATTATCTGTGAGGTCAATTAAGAATAAGAAAACAATAAAAGATTTTTATTTTATTTGCTCTTGTCTCTTCACTCATATCCTCTGCTTTATGTAGATCCAATTTTTATTGGATTTATTTTCCTTGTCTCTGAAGAACTTTTATCATTTTGTGCAAAGTAGGCCTACTGGTGACAATTTTCCTCAGTTTTCTTTCTAAGAAATTTTTACTTCTCCTCTGATTTTTTTTGTTCTACATACCAAATAGGAGAGAAGATATGTGATACTTATCATTCTGAGTCTGGCTAATTTTCTTTAACATGATGTTCTTCAATTCCATCCATTTTCCTGAAAATTATATGGTTTCATTCTTATTTATGGCCAAATTTTATTATACATGGATATCTAGGCTGATTCCATAACTTGGCTATTGCGTATAGTTTCACAATAAACGTGGGCGTACAGGTATCTCTACTGGAGGCTGACTTTGATTCCTTTGAGTATATACCCAGGACTAGCCTGCATGATCATATGATAGTTTAGTTCTTTTGAGGAATCTCCATACTTATTTCCAAAATGGCTGTACCACGTTATGTCTCCACAAACAGTGGGGAAATGTTCTTTCTCCCCTCATGCTTCCTAGCATTTTTTTGTTGTTGTTGATAATAACCATCCTGACAGGGATGAGGTAGAAGCTCAATGTAGTTTTGATATGCATTTCATCAGTGGCTAAAGATGTTGAGCATTTTTTTTTTCATATAATTACTGGTCACTCATACTCCTTTTAAGAAGTGTCAAGTCAGCTCATTTGCCCATTTATTAATTCATTTACTTGTTGTTTTGATGTTCAAATTTTTGATACTTTTATATCTCCTTCACTTTGCAATAATCATTGGACAGGATACAGCATTCAAGGCTTGTGGAGTTTTTCCTCAGCAGTGTAAATATGCCATTACACTCTGTCCTTACTTGTGTGTTTTCTGAGAAGTCAGATGTAATTTTTATCTGATCTGCTACTTGTTTCCTCTATGTTCACTCAAGTTTTTAATCTTTGATTTTCTTGAGTTGGATATGATATTCACATTTTTTTGGTACTTTTCTCCTGTTGTTTTCTGAGATTCCTGGATGTGTGGTTTGGCATCCGACACGAATTTCGGAGCAACTCTTAGCCGTTATTGTGTTAGATATTTCTTCTGCTCATTTCTTACTTTCCTTTTCCTCTGTTTTTCCCATTACATTGATGGTATACCACTTGTAGTTGTCCACTGTTCTTGGACATTCTGTTCTGGGTATTTTCCTAGTCTTTCTTCTGTTTACTTTTGTTGTTTTGGCAGTTTTTCTTCAGATATCCTCAAGCTCAGAGATTTTTCCTCAGCTGTGTCAGAGTGTCACTGAGTCCTTCACAGGTATTCTTTATTTCCATTCAGCATTTTTGATACCTAGCATTTATTTGTGATTATTTCTTAGAATTTGTCTCTCTGTGCATCCAATTGGTCTGTTCTTATATATTGTCTATTTTTTTTTCCTGTTACAATCCTTAGCATCTTAATCATTGTTATTTTAAAATCCTGGTCTGATAATTCCAAATTCCTGTGATGTCTGACTATGGTTTTGGTGATTTCCCTCTCTCTTCAAACTGGTTTTGGCCTTTTTAGTATTCCTTTTCTTGAAAACCTGACATGAGGCACCAGACAGAAGGAACTATGGTGGACAGGCATTTAGTAATGCGGTGGGAACATGTGAAGGGAGGGGCACCTTCTGGACAACTGGAAGTCTGTCTTTTGCTGAACCTGTGCTCCTGAACTGTGAACTTCATGGTGCTTTTCAGTCCCCACTCTTGAGTGAGTGGGAATATCTAGAGGGGCCTGAGTTTGGTTATTTCCCTTCCTCCACACGAAGAGCTAGAAGTTGATCAGAGGTGAGTACTTCCCTTCCCCAGGTCATTAAGCTCTTATAAAACTCCTTATAGGGTATGTGCTGAGACTGCATTCTCTTCCTGGGGGAAGGCCTTACAAAAAGCAGATTGTTTCCAGCATGGTAATGGATGAACACCTGTAATCTCAGCACTCTTGGAGGATGAGGCAGAAGGACTGCAAGTTGAAGACCAGCCTGGACAACTTAATGACTTAGTGAAACTGTCTCAAAAGAACATAAAGGGCTGGGGATATAGCTCAGAGTGAAAGCCCTGGACTCAATACCCAGTACCACAAAAAAATGACAGTAATGAAAGAAAAAGAAAAGAAAGAAGAGTAAGAACAGAATGTTCTGATGTAATTCTAAATGGCTCCTTCCTCTCCCTGTCACCTGAAACACGAAACTTTTTTTTCTCTATTCTTCATTGGGACAACTAGTAGAGCTCCTAGAGGTAAAAATCACAAAAGTGTGAGTGAGCTCCCAGAATACTGGGCTGCCTGGAATTCCAGCTTTAAAACTTATCCATGAAAAACCCCCAGAAATTTGTCAGTTTCAGCTTAGGTTTTCCTACCCTAGTCTTGGTTCCTTTAGAGGCTTCTACGTGCCGGTCTCTGGCCTGGTGAGTTGTCATTCTCTGTATGAGCCTGCCTCTCACCTTTTGGGGTAGAAGTTATTCCTGTGACCTCACTTCACAAGTGTAAGAAAAGTTGTTACTGTTGTAGGAATAGTTTCTGAGAAGTAGAGGAACTGAAAGAAAATGGGGATGGATGAAAATAGGGGATACAATTTAACCTCTAAGATTTTGGAGTCATTCTGTGGCCTGTGTCCTTCTAAACCAGTGATTCTCAGTGTACCAGGCACCCCTTATAATACGGAATAATCTGATCTAAAGTGTCAATAGTGCTGCTGTTGAAAACCACTTTTTGAACCTCTTAAACTGGTCAGTGTTTCGCACTCACCCAGTGCCTACCTGCACAGTATCCCACCGCTGCTTCATAATGGCCTGTGAGATAGCTGAAATGTCACAGTGTGAACTGAGGTAGTTAAGAGCTGAAACTGAAGCAACCTGGAAGTCAGCGGCAGAGCCAGTACTACCATCTTCCAGTCCTGTTGTTTCCCAGAAAGCCCACAGTTACCTGGGCCTCCCCTTGCTTTGACCTCTTCATCCTTCCAAAGAAGACCATCATGCACTGTCTTGTGAGTATAGTTGCATTTTAGAATCATAAGGGATCAGTTCCAGGACCCCCTGCAGATAGCAAAGTCTGTGGATACTCAAAGCCCTTAGAGAAAATGGCATAGTATTTATATATAACCATACACATTCTATTTTACTTTAAATAGCCTTTAGGCTACCTATAATACCGAGTACAATGGGAATCGTTGTCAACCTGTATAATATAGAGAGTATTCACAAGAAAAAAGTTTGAACGTACTAAGAACAGATGTAGTTTTTCATAAACACTTTCAATTTGTAGTTGATTGAATTCCATGGCTGTGGAACCCCATGGATCCAGAACCCTGCACATATAGAACCCGCAGATGCAGGGAGCCACCTATATACGTGTGGCATTTTGCTAGATTTCTCTGCTTCTCCTAGCTAAGCATAGTTCATTCTGTTGTGTAATAATCTTCCCTACTGAATATGTCCTGCTTCAAAGAGAATGGAAACTTTCCCCAGGCGGCCCAGCAATTGGCATAAAGTAGGCCCTAAGTACAATTTTTGTTGAATTGTTAGAAGATAAGAAAGAATATGTACTAATAGATTGAGGTGGTCATCTATCTGAGTTTGTAATGAAGGTACTACCTGTCTCCAGAACAGGCTGGGACATGGGGTGTGACTCTCAGACTGGTGGAAAAAGAGAAATTGCAGGCCCACAATGGTTGTTTTGCTGACAGGATTTTGTGTTATCAATAATACTTAAAAGCACTGTGTTATTCCTTTTGTTAAATTTGACACAGTTCAACTTCTTTTCCCTTTAGATTGTGCATGCGTGTACCTTTTGAAAGATGTGATAGAACCTTGCTTAAAAATTCACTGTATCCTCAGATTTTATTCCCTGAAGATCTTATCCGATGCAACATGAACAAACTCTCTTGTAATGTTTGATATCACAGTTATCCTTAATTTATTCTGACATCAAATCTTTATGTCTTAAACTAGTCTCAATTTCTCATCTATAAAATGGAAATAACGAGCCTTTGCTAACTGAGGCTGTTCCTGAAGATGACATTATCTAAAGCACATGAAAACCTTTTGAACAATACTGTGTAAATGTTAAGGTTCCTCCAGTTAGGGGCAACTCTGAAAAATTATGTTTGTATGATTTATACAATATAGTCAGTTGTCATGCTGTTATTAAAGTTCGTAGCTATATTGAAAGAATGTGTTACTTAAGGTACTGGCCTGAATATATAAAATCATTTTGTTTTACTAGTAACTTGATTAAAACTATATTTGACATTGAGCTGTCTTGAAAATTACAATACCTCGACCTTTGTTTCTCTGTAGGTGTTACAGAGCATCTTGGATACTGAAAAAGAGTATGCTAAAGAACTTCAGTCTCTTCTTGTAACTTACTTAAGGCCACTGCAATCCAATAACAAGTAAGATTTAAATTTTATTGAAATATGTAATTGTTTATTTACTGTTTTTTTTGTTTTTTTTTTTTTTTTTTTTTTTTTTTACAAAGTCTTGCTGTGTAGTTCAGCCTGGCCTTGAACTCACTACATAGCTCAGACTAGCCTTGAACTTGTGGCAGTCCCCCTGCCTCAGCCTCCTAAGCGCTGGGATTATAAGCATGTGCTACGACGCTCGGCTAAGGTTTTTGTTTTTTTAAAAAATTTTAAACCCTTTACTAAATAAAGCAGGATAATGTCAGCATATGGAGTCATTACTCTTATGTCACTGAATAATTGATTTTGCCCTTTAGAAGAAATTCCACAGATTGTAAGTTGCCAAGAACATGGTCAGGGCAACAGAAATTATACAAGATGTTGCTTTTGGAGAGCTGGGCTTGCTTTCTGTGCAAGGAATGAACATATCTGCATTTCTATCTGTTACAGTTTTTATCTTGTATGTTTTTGCCTCTTTTTCATTTAAATTTTTTAGTTAAAAGTGTAACTGCCATGTAATCACCATACATATTTGTGGAGTAGAATGTGATCTGTCAGTGTATGTCTACACTACGTACTGATCATATCAGATGAAGTGGCATATCTATCACCTCAAAGGTTTCTCACTACTTTACATTGGGAACATTCAAAGCCTCCCTGCCCGCTATTCTGAAATATACAATTAATTGGCATCAAACACAGTTACCCTGCTGTGCTGCAGAATGTTCGAAGTCGTCCCTTCTATCCAGCTGCATCTGTTAACCATCCCCTCGCTCGCTGCCCCCCCGCTCACTTCTCAGGCTCTGGAAGCCATTGCTCTCCTCTCTCTACGTCTCGGAGATCCGCTTTGTTAGCTTCCACATTTCTCGCACAGTTTTATAGTCACGTGTCTACTTTTCCTTACAGAAAAGGGACTCCCTGGTGCTTTCATTCAGAAAGCACAGAAAATGGAAATTCTCATGCTCACTGTGACCTTTGCTTGCCAGGGCAGAGCTCTTCTTTCCCAGGCTCTGAGAGTGGAAGGAGTGTGGAATTTTGTGAATGTTCCTAAGAGGAATTCATGCCAGTATTTCACTCAGGCAAATGTGAATGATAATGAGATACTGAAGTGTTTTCTCATCTTTGTGTGTGTGCTGCATCCCCAGTCCTTTAAAAAAATGTTATTTTGCTATGAGATCTTCCTAAATTGTCCTGGCTAGCTTTGAAAATTGCAGTCCTCAGGCTTTAGCCTCCTGAGAAGCTGGGATTATGGGCGTGTGCAACTGCGCCTAGCTAAAGTGTACCTATTTTTGAATTTTCTGCTTTTACTTCCCCTTTTCCTTAAAGCGTTTTTAAAACAAAGCGTTCCAACCTTATTTTAGTTTTAGTAATCTGAAGTGATTGTCTAAGGCCTGAATTGAAAACTTAGTTTTCACACACACAAAAAAATTGACCATTTTTTAATGCTGGTAGGCACAGCACACTAAAAAATGTGACTATTTTTGAATATTTTTCCAATAAAAATGTGACTAACTGCATATATATGTGTTATTTTAAGTGAGTATATTTCTGTAGATATCATGAGCTCTAAGTCAAATAAAAAGTGAATCAGTCAGCCCACTTAATGGAGGACAAAACCTCCTCTTCTATGTCAGTGAGAGCTGACTGCTCCTCGACAGTTGCCTACTCATCAACTTCAGGCTTAAATGAGTTTCACATTCATGGATTCCTCCCCTTTTTCCAAATCGTGTTTGTTGAGCATAATACCTTGATGAATTTCTAACTTAGTCATTCTCATGGCACTATGGGAATCTTTCTTCATTGTGGAAGGATTTCACGCCTCCGAGTTATAAGAATTTACAAGTAATCGACAGCCAAGAGTTTATCGTTATTGCTATTGAGCTATTAAGTGTGCTGTGAATCACGGTTCTTAGAGCTGGATGGAACCTCAGTGCATGGTCAGGCCTAAGGCTCTAGACGAAGACATTGTCCCTGTTGCACAGACAGGAAACAGAGATAGGAAACAGGTCTACTGTCTTGCCAGTCACACAGCAGCAAGTGGCCATCATTATGCCTCTCACTATGGGGTGAAATGTCCCTCTGCGATCTGGGGATGCCAGAGGGCAGCTGAAGTGGTCACCCCGGGAGGGGAGATGGGAAGGTATCCAATGAGGACGAGACTGACTGGAAGTGGAGAAAGTGTGAAAGAAAAAGAAAGGAAGACAGCCAGGGCTGAGGAGGGAAGAGAACTGAGTCCGACCTGTGCTGTTCCTGAATGCATCCAGAATGCAGTTACAGAAGGTGCCCAGTTCTTCCCACTGGTCGTGTTGGCCTCAGATGATTTGAGCAAAGCACGTCGCTTACACTGTCTGATTCTGAATGGGCCTGATAGAGCCCCAGCTAGGCTTCGTGAGCTCCTGGGTGTTGGTGCCGCAAGGAGAAAGCCGGCTGGGAGGCTGCTGGCTGCTGGTTTCACTTTCCACACTTGCGGAGGGGCTTTCCAGCTCATGGCTCAGGAGGGCATTGTCGCAGAGGAACCAAGAGCTTTCTATACTCTTAGCAGTTACTGGTAATGTGTGTTTGGGTCTTCCCTTTTTGTTTTACTCAGCAAAAATTATTCTCTTGAAAATACTCTCCAAAGATTATTCTTAAGGGCATGGGGCGCACATTAGCCTTTAAAAAAGTGGGTTTTTTGGTTTGGTTGTTTTTTAGAAAAGATGTTCCAGAAAAAGAGATAAAGAGCATGCACCCTGGAGCTAGAATGTGGTTTGCTTCATTCCTTCTGTGACTTTCAATGACCCTTCTGGGTTTTGTCACTTATAAATTTAGACAGCAATAGTCCCTACCTCACAGTGTTATTACAAGGTTAAAGGGAGTTCTCATTTGCACAGGGCCCGCACATGTGCTCAATGCTGTATGAGGTGTGGCTGTTCTTATCACTTACTGTTTGGTAAAGGAAGAACGGACAAGAATCTTCTTCATGCAGAGCCCCCAGATAAAATTGTTTAGTTTGGCTTTATTTGACTCTAGTCCTGCCAAAATCAAACAAACAAACCACACAACATTAGCACTGGTTTTTTTTCCCCACCTACTGCCTTTTATAAAGATCTCTTTTAGTTGCTTTATGAGCACTTTAGCTCAGGAGTAAGCTCATTTTGTATTTGCTGTGCATTCTTTGAGCACGTATACCTTCCAGTTACTTTTCCAGTTCCTCTAGAGGAAGATGCATGAAAGTTTTTTTATTTATTTTCAGCCAATATTTATTTTTCATTTATTTTCATGCATTTTGTCTGTTTAAATACTAAGACATAATAAGTATGAAGCACTTAGTAATTTTTCTCATGAATTTGCAAAGTACTTAAATACTCCTTACGGCCACTCATTTTCCTTAAGATCAATACTCTTATTATAGAAACCAAAAAAAGAAGCTTAAGAAACTTGCCTGAGACCATAGAGTTCTTGTAAATTGAAAAGCAAAAGTTGAAATCGGGATTGCTCCCCTCATATTTGCAAGATGCTGTATTAACAATCTACCCGCTAACTGTACTGCAGGTGGGTTTCTACAGTGATCCTTAAGTTCTACCAACTGAATTACTTGTATTTTTCCAGTCTGAGTACTGTGGAGTTTACATCTCTCCTGGGAAACTTCGAGGAAATATGTACATTTCAACAGACACTCTGCCAAGCTTTGGAAGAATGTTCAAAGTAAGTGTGACATATTTGTTAGGACGACCAGCAACCCCCTTGTTGGGCATTTGTTTTCCTTTTAGCTGTTGTCTTAGATAAGGACAACTAGCAAATTATTTCTAATTTTAATTAAAAATCATCACTTTACTGCATGTCATCACTATAAGATATCCATAAAGTCCTAATTTACCATGGATGAGAGTTTTGATATTATTTTCTTTTGTACATTGCAAATTACTTGGAGAAGTCTTTAGATTATTTGGTTTCACAAGTCTATCCCCCACTCTCTGCCAAGATACTTGTGCATGCCAAGCAGGCTCTGTACCACTGAGCCACACGCCCAGCTCCAGTTTGTTTACTTTTAATCACTTCTGGTATTGTGTCTATTAAATTAAGAGTTGAAACACACAGAAACTGAGGAAGGAAGAGTATATGTGAATCGCAACACATTTTAGATGGCTAGCTGATTGCTAAGATGTGCAGCTTTTTGATTTCTGTAGAGAAATTGGGGGTGGCTCCATGTCTCCTGGGGCTTATGGTACATAGGTGGTTGTAGAGGGAGGAAGATAGAGAGATTCCACACTACAGACACCTGAGGACCTGCTTCAAATACCAGTAGGGATCTGGATAATTCATATGCACAGATGTTCACTGAAAAGAGTACTTTACAAGCTAAGCTTATAAATAATGTTATGGTTTCCATTTTATAGAAGAACATGTAGAAAGAGGCTCTTGGAATATGTCAAAAGTTACAGTAGATATCACCGAATGATGTGATTCTGAGTAATTTTTTTATGTTTTTCTAATTGTTCTAGAAATGAAAACAGGTAATATATAATTTAAAATAATTTTTTAAAAATTGAAGTCACCTGCCTAGTATCCACTGGGCCAAGAAGACTACACAATATTTTCTTTTTGTGAGGTGTTGCTTTTGGATTACATTGGGTTATTTTGCCTGTACTTAAAATTTCCTCACTAAGAATACTCTTAGCATGTCAAGCTAAATTTGAATATAAATTTTAAAAACAAACAGCTCTACTTACTAATTCTGGGTAAGTATCTGACTCTACAATATTAGGGCTGTTTGGTGTCTAGAGTTTAAAGCAGTGGTCAAAAACGTCATTTCGTGGACAAAATGGACTCTTACATACTTTCCTTTTTAACTGTGATGCAACGTTCAAAATGTTTACATGCTGCCAGCTTTAACTGGAATCATTTTCCTTTACCTTCTGTTTCCTGTTTTACAATCTGTGTTTCACCTGTATTGCTTACAGGTTTCCAGAAAATCAACACAAAGTGGGAGGTTGTCTACTGAATCTCATGCCTCACTTTAAATCGATGTATCTGGCTTACTGTGCAAATCATCCTTCAGCTGTAAATGTGCTCACCCAGCACAGGTAAATCATTAACATTTCTTCAACTGGGAGGTTTTGCAATGAGATACTTTGTTAAAACCACATCACTGGAAATTGAAGGTCTCTGGTTGAATTTTATTATCCCTGGTTTTGATGCCAAGAATTTATTCATTGTTACATGGATCGATCACCCATTAATCTAACAAATAATTTATTGACCTCCTACTATGTGCAAGTTCCTGTACTAGCTGATGAGGATATAAGAGTGAACAAGGAAGAGAAGGCCCCTTCCCTCACGGAACACAGAATCTTGAGCTTAATACAGATATTAAGTTAAACATTGTGAACATGTTGTATTACAAAAGCATAATTAAAAGGATGCCAGAGGACTTTACAATGTAGTATCAACTTAGTAGGGTGAGGGGATGGAGAAGTATCAGGAAAGGCCTTACAGAACCAAAATTCTGTCTAGATCCAAAGCTTTAGACTTCCATGTGCCAGTGAATATTTTACCTGAGCTGTTTAATGGGTAGAAGATATCTTCAGAAACGACATGGCTGAAAGACAGGTGTTGGTAAGGAAGGGCAGAAGGAAACCAGTACTTGCCATGAGTGATGACAGGACCTTCACACAAACAGTTCTGATAACTTCTGTGGATGTACTAAATCGTTTCAGGTTCATGGAGAACAAAATAATAGCTTCTCGTTTAAGAATGAGAGTCTTTTCAAGGGATCCAGATGAGTGCCACATTTCTCCTGTCTGCCCTTAACCTCTTGCTGCTCATTCCTTACATGTTCATCTGGGCCATGCTCGAAAGCACACTTTGAAGTCATATGTCGGATATCTAGGTGGGAAAATGGCAAGGCCAACAGAGGTGGCTTAACCTTTAACTCAGAGATTAAATGCAGACCACACTGGACTGTGGATACCGCACAAGACTGAAAACAGTACTCTGCTCTTACCTGGCCTACATTTGAAATCTCAGAGTCAAACTAGAAAATTCATTGACTCCAGCCTTCAGAGGTGACATAAATTTTGTTCTTTTTTTTTCCTTGTTGGGAGCTTTATTGGCATTATAAAGCTATCATGTAAGGACATTTTGCAAGTTTGAGTCAATAGGTCCCACTCGAAAGTCAATTTTATCCCCCGATCTAAGTTTTGAACTCCTACAGAATAACAAATATGGAGGTTACAGTTTAAAACAAGAGAGGCCATGACTTTGAATTTTTCAGACGAGTGGTTTAACCACTTACAGCTAACATTAGCTAATAACAGACGGACAGTGTGCCAGGCACATGATATAAAATCCTATGAAGGAGTTACTTTCCTCTGCTTTACAGATAAGACCCTGGAACGTGTAGGTTAAGTAATCTGCCTGAGAGTTCGTAGCTGAGAAGAGGTTGAGCCAGAATCCAGGTCTATTAGACTTCTAAAAAGTATCTTCATTAAGATATGTATTTTACCCACAAGGAATAACCTAAATGCTAATTTAACTATTATAATAAAATGAGCATCCAGGTGCCCACTGCCCAGCTTGAATAATAGAACATTATCTTTCCTTTTTTATACAAGAGCTTTATTGAGATATAGTTCACAAAGCGCACAATTCAACTATTAAAGTGTACAGAGCATTGATTTTCAGAATGTTTGCAACTGTCACGATAATCAATTTGAGAACATTTCCATCACTCCCAAACAAACGTATGTCTACTTGCAGCCACTCTATATTTCCCCTTAATCCTGCCAGCCTAAGATAACTACACTAGCTACACTTAATATCACTATGGATTTGATTACACTGGACATTTTCTTTATGTACAATTATATAACATGCGGCCTCTTGTGACGGGCTTTTTCACTTAGCATAAAGTTTTTAAGGTCCACCCACATTGCAGCATATATCAGCACATCATTTTTAAAATTGCTAAATAATATTCTACTTTATGGATGCCACATATTGCTTTTCCATTTCCCAGTTGATGGATTATAAATAATGCTGCGTTTAAAATTCATACACATGAGGCCAAGGATATAGCTCAGCAGCTCAGCGCCTGCCTGGCAAGTGCAAGGACCTGAGTTCGATTCCAAGTACCAAAAAAATCCCCAAACAAAACAAAACAAAACAAAAATTCATATACAAGTATTTGAGTAGGCATTTGTTTTCATTTCTCTTAGGCAGGTAACCAGGAGTAAAACTGCTGGATCCCATGGTGATGGTGTGTTTCACTGTTTTCCAAAGTAAATGCAGGAGTTTATTTCCCACCAGCAGCGAATGATAGTTCCATTTCCTCTATACCCTCACCAGCATTTGCTGTTGTCAGCCTGTCTTGTTTTATTTTATTTTATTTTTTTTGGTTTTTCTCCGGTACCGGGAACCGAACTCACGACCTTGCGCTTGCCAAGCAGGCGCTTTTGCCGCTGAGCTAAATCCCCAGCCCCGTCAGCCTGTCTTGTATGACAGCCCTATGAGTGGATGAGAAATAGCTTCTTACTGTGATTTGACTTGCAGTTTCTTAGTAAATACTATGCTGAGCACCATTCATGTGCTTATTGGCAATTTGTACACATTTGTTTGGAAAAATGTCTGTTGAGATCTTTGCTTATTGTATCTTTTCTTAATTTGTCTTTGATACGTGTGTACATTATCTCATTTTAACCAGTTTTACATTATCTATCCTCTCAAACACTTATCATGCTTTTATTGTGAAAACTTTCAAATTCTTCTAGCTATTTGGAATGCAGCCTGCGTTACTGTTGTGCGTAGTCACTCCATGGTCCAGTAGCACACCGGAGCATCATACTTCTTTCTACCTCACTGAGCCCCACTGATCAAGTTTCCCTATCCCTCCCCACCGCATTCCTTCCAACCCTGAGTAACCACCATTCCACCCAGAACTTCCTATAACATCAGCAAGTATAGATTCCACACATGAGTGAGGTCATATAATATGTTTCTTTCTGTACCTTGATTACTTCATTTAACATAATAGTCTCCATTTCTATCCATGTTAACAATGAGACGATTGCATCCTTTAAAAAAAAAATTTTACTTTATTCATACACAGGTACAGTGCATACTGCTTACATCCTGTGTGGAGCTGGTGCAAGCACATAACACATCTTCAGTCCCTTTTTCATCCCCTTTCCTTCCCTCCCTCCTCTGCCTCCCGTCTCTTGATCTCCAGGCCTGTTTAGGGTACATGTTTTCATACATTATGTTCATACTCCTTGTGCGGTTTTGGTATATGTGTGCAATCCATCCCGATTCTCTTTTCATCTCCTATTCTTCCTCTGCCTTCCTTCCCTCCATCTCTTGATCCGTTTCCTCTTTAAGAAAAATCTTTCTCCTTACTTCCTACCATCTATCTTTTCTTTTGCTCTTTACTTTTCACTCTGGGTTTCTCATGTAAGAGAAACCATGTGATAATTAAGCATCCTCCACATGGCTGGCCATTAGAAAATGCAAATTCAAACCATCCTGAGACTTCATTTTACCCCAGAAGGAATGAGTATCATCAAGAAATCAAATAATAACAAAAGCTGGAGAGGTCACAGGGGACAAAGGAGCCCCTCTGCACTGTTGTTGGGAGTGTAAACTAGTACAACCACTATGGAAAGCAGATGGTCGTTCCTCAAAAAACAAAAACTACAAATTCCATTTGATCCAGCTATTCTCCTTCTGGGTATCTTTTTTTGGGGGGGCGGGTACCGGAAACTGAACTCAGGACCTTGCACTTGCCAGGCAGGTGTTGTGTCACTGAGCTATACCCCTGGCCCCTCCTTCTGGAAATCTTCACAAAAGAGTTAAAGACATCATATTACAGTGCTGTATGCATACATGTGCTTATAGCAGCAAAATTCATAATAGCTAAGTCTTAGAAGCCACCCTTATGCCTATCAACAGGTGAATAGGTAAAGAAAATATGGTATGGTATTTACACACAGCAGAATATTACTCTGCTTATTTGTAGGAAAATGGATGCAACTTGACACCATAATGTGGAGTGAAATAAACCATACTTTTTAGTGGCTTAATACTGTTCCATTCTGCATTATGCCACATTTTCATTGTCCATTCACTGGTTGACAGACACATTGTTCCAACATCTTGGCAACTGTGAATAGTGTTGTGATAAATGTGAGCATGCAGATGTCTCCTTGATATATTGAGTTCATTTCCTTTGTATATACATCCAGTAGTGAGATTGCTGTATCATATAGTAACTCTATTTTTAAGTTTTTGAGTAACCTCCATACTATTTTTATTGTTTTTATTGTAAAGAGAATTTAAAAAAAGAATAATAGCAAAATGCCACTAACATAGACAAAAACAAAACAAAACAAAAACAATAAGAATGAGACAGGGATATAGGGATTAACAGCGGTTGTTATATTACATATTTTTATCTTCATCAAAGTTGGTCAGATTACCAGATGTAAGAATGCAAGATTAATCAAACCATTAAAGAGAATAAAAAATAAACAAAAGAAGGATAGCTGGGATAACTGTACTGCTGATGTCTGACGGTGTATTGAAAGGGACAGTTAGTGCTTAAAATTTTTTATGTTCTGACCTATTTTGCATGCATATATCTGTTAATCTGAACAACTAATTTAAAGACAACAATATGCAATATAACAACCATTGCTGAATTCCTATCCTACTATTTTTGTAGTGGCTCTCCTAATTTCCTTTCCCATGATAAGTGTTGCAAGGGTTCCCTTTTCTGCACATCCTCACCAGCATTCATTCTTTCATTCTTTTGGTAAGAGCAATTCTTAGCAGAGTGAAGTGGTATTTCATCACAGTTTTAATCTGCATTTCCATGATTAGTGACATGAAGCATCTTTTTCTTTTTTTTTTTTTTTTTTTTTTTTGGTTTTTTCTCCGGTACCGGGAACCGAACTCACGACCTTGCGCTTGCCAGGCAGGCGCTTTTGCCGCTGAGCTAAATCCCCAGCCCCTGAAGCATCTTTTTCATATACCTGTTGACCATTCATACGTCTTCTTTTGAGAAATGTGTATTTAGGTCTGTTGCTCA